CCAATGTCATTTGTCTCTTGTCTCCTCTGCTCCGTCTTTTCCATCACTGTGTGTCTGTGTGTATGTGTGTGTGCTGGGGTAATTATATGGGATGACAGCGGGAGAGTATTTCCCCTGGGACAGGGAACTTCAGTCAGGTCTTTGGTTGGAAAATCTCGCAAATGAAGAGGATACGGGTGTATTTAAAGGTAGTGATGCCTGTGGATGCATTTGGCTTTAGCACACGCCGATACCTCATAACTTCATCAGTAACTGAAGAGTTATTGAGCTAACACAATTTGCCTTTTCTCCTGCTTTCCTCCTCTTTTTTTATTAGCTATTGATTTGTTTTAATTTAACAAGGCTATGCAGCTTTTACCATGAACATAATTGTTAATTGCTCTCTTTTTTTTCTGCAATGTTGTTTGTGGTTAAAATGGCATGCATTCACACCACCATGGTGTTTTGAATGAGATTTTCAGGGTGTTTTCACACTTGCTTTGATTGTTTGGTCTGAAACTGAGCTTATGTCATTAACATGAGTATCACTGTTAATACTAGCGGCATCTGTTTATCACTATATCTAGGTAACAGGAAGAGAAGACGCCAGCTTCTTTGTTTTATTAATGCTTTTATTGTTGTTTTACCAAACCTCAAAGGGGATAGTACACCCAAAAATAAAACTGCATCATCATTTACTCACACCCATGTTGTTCCAAACCTGTATGACTGACTTCTGTGGAACATAAAGATATTTTGAAGAATGTTGGTAACCAAACCATTTTGGTTACCATTGACTTATGTTATATGGACAAAACACAGACATTTCTCATTTTTCTTTTTTGTTTCATGGAATAAAGCTATACAAGTCATACAGATTTGGAATGACATGAGGGTGAGTAAATGATGACAGAAGTTTCATTTTTGGGTGAACTCATTTAACACGCAGAGAACATCATTAACGTCTGCTGCAAATCTATTGAAAATAATGCATGCAAGAATGCATGAAATTTCTGCGACGAAGGTATGAGAAATGCATTATAGGCCTACTATAATGATCAAATTGTTATTATTAGCAGTTCACTAATTCGGCCTGACTGTGATCCATACATGAACCGTAACCCAGACTACAGTTTCAAGCTGATTCGGACACAGTTTGCGGTTTCACGCCAGCTAAATTAACTGAATGCTGACATCACGTCTACTCAAATTCACACCAAAAGCTCAAGTGTGAAAGCACCCACAGAGTTGATTGTTGCTTTTTAAAAGTTGCTGTCATATTTGAAGGAGCCTTTTCTAAAGCATGCTACTTTTCTAAAGTATATACTAATTTGGCACTATTCTAAACTATAATGTTTTCCTCTCTTTTTGTCTTCTTCAATGTGTCTGTCTGACCATTTATGGCTGCTGAATCTCACTCTCTGCTCACATTGATGCCTATGGGGACTTTTTGTGACCTGGACCTTTTTACTTTTTTAAACAAATTGGATTTTCTGTTCTTGACGTGCTAATGGACTCGCCAATTAATCCTACAAAATGATTGGGTCACCTTAATGGCTACACGTAATGCCACCATGCAGCTAGGAACCTGCAAATCCAGCAAGCCATACATCCAGTAGACCCTCTGGACATCCAGATGGACAACCACTGGACATCTAAACAAGCTGAAGGGCTGGTTGAGGGCCCCTTGCTGTCACCCTTAGGTTCTCAGCCCTCACTGAACAACACCCAGCTCACACAGCCCACCTCCTCCACAGGTAACCCCATGTGGAGGAGTCATGCCTGGGCCCTGTGGCTTTTAGGGGGTAGTAGATGGTGCAGTTTACACCTGGTATTAACATGCATCTCATATGTTTTTCTGTGTAATTGGATTTTGGGAGTAAAATATGTTTTTAAAGTTTGTAATCAGTTGATATCATATGCTTAATATGCATGCTCTTCTCCTCTATTTAGATTACCTTTGCCATCATCTGCTGTAGCACTTAAAGTTAATCTTTAAAAACACTAAGTTAATAACACATTTATTTTTCATATTGTACATTATAATCTCATAATGCCTAAATTCCCTAATAGCATTTTTTTTGGACAAAATGGTACAGAATTTCAAATTTGGCATGAAAATAATTATCAGAATCGGACAGAATTTAATAGTAGTGAATTCCTCCTAGTATTTTTCGCTGTTCACTTTTAGCTGGATCACTCTAGATGAATGTTGCCAGGTGTAAAGGAGGTTGTTGTGTGTGTGATTTGCATGTGTGATCGCTTTTTGATGTGAATTTCTCAGGTTTCATCTACAGTAGTGTTTTGCTCGCTTATCATACTTTCTGCAGTCTTTCATCTTGCTTTAATACTTTTTCTATATCACACTTTGTCATTGTTGTGACATTATTTTGACCTGTTACGGGTGGAGTTATTTGTTCTCCTATATTTTGTGTGTACTTATGTCTCACTTTATCAACATTCTGGATATTGGGGCATTGCTCACTAAGTATATGCCCCTTTTTCTGTTGATCTCTTTGATTTATTCATGAATGTATGTGTATTTATGTTTTGCTGTGTCTGTGCATTTCATGTACCTGTTCCCATTCTCATTTTCCATTGGTTTAATTGTAGCCCCCTCCCACAAATCCATGCGTCATGAGGCTGTCAGAGCCTGGTTGGACTCGATGTCTGGAGGTAGAGAAGAAAAACAAGTCCAGCAACATATATTAGTGCTAATACATGCACACATCAGCGCATGGCAATACTATTGAACACTTAACACCACTGCAATCATTGTTGAACATTGATTGCGTGTTGAAACATCACATGCAAAAACAAGTTGACGCTACTGCATGCTGGAAGTGGCAAGCGAGACCGTGTCTGGTGTGATAGCTATTATCCTTCAGCTTAATCCAAACACACACTGCATCTGGCATGCAGGTTGTGTTTGGATCCTTCATCTTAATCCAAACACACACTGCATCTGACATGTTTCCTTCTGAAATAATACAAATTATGAAATGTACTTAAAAGTAAAACCATTTTGTCCCAGGATGCATGTGGTGCATCTGTGGAGGATGCAAAGAGCTTGTTGTGACATAATTGCAAGGCACTTCATCTGTACAGCGCAAGGCCACAGAGAGGTCAAAACCAGAAATAACTAAAAACATTTCTGAGTATTTTTGTGGTTCAGAGAGCGGACACGCACAAAACCCTTGAATACAACAGCCTTGAGCATGTCACAGAAGTGCAGGAAAGAAATAGACTGAACATGGTTGCAAACGATTCTGAAGCTGGCAAATAATCTCTGCTGAAGTTCAGAACTTTTGTTCAAATAATACCATTAATGTATGCAAAAAAAAAAAAAAAAAGGGGTGATTTTTTTTTTATTATTACCAGGGTCCAAAATATGAGACCCCCAGTGAAAATTCCTCTATTTTGCATTTTACTATCCT